TGATGGGATCTCAGCTCCAGAGACAGGGGATGCTGGTGCAGGATGTTGTTCCCCAGCCCCTGATGGGATCTCAGCTCCAGAGACAGGGGATTCTGGTGCAGGACGTTGTGCTCTGGGCACAGGAGATGCTGGTGCAGGATGTTGTTCCCCAGCCCCTGATGGGATCTCAGCTCCAGGCACAGGAGATGCTGGTGCAGGACGTTGTTCCCCAGGCCCTGACGGGATCTCAGCTCCAGGGACAGGAGATGCTGGTGTGGCACGTTGCCCCCCAGCCCCTCCTGGGCCCTCAGCTCTGGGCACAGGCGGCGCTGGTGCAACACGTCTCATCCCAGCCCCAGACGGGGCCTCGGCTCCAGGCGATGCCGGTGTGGGGCGGTGCAGCCCATCCCCTTCACTGGCAGGACCTCGGGGGGTGACACCCCCCGGCACAGCCCCTGCCACCCCCTCCTCGCCGGCGCCGCCCTCCCGCGTGGCATCGGTGCCGTTCGTCAGCTGCTCCTCCTCCTCCTCCTCCCCGGCGCCGTCCCCGGGGCTCTCCTGTGCCAGCGCCTCCCGGATCTCCTTCACCCCACCCGGGGAGCTGGGTGGCACTCCGGGATCCTGCAGCTCCCGCGGCTCGGTGCCCATCTCGTAGGGCAGGGTCCCCTCGTCGTCCTGGATCACCGACACCACCTGCCTGGCCCTGCGGCGCCGGTCGCCCTGCCCGGCCGGCTCGGGCTCGGGCTGCCCCGGGTACTCCTCGCCCCAGTCGATGGGGATGCCCTCGCCCAGCAGGTGCAGGTTGGGGTCGCTGTTGTGCAGGACCATGCTGTCCCGGTACAGGTTGTGCTTGCGCTGCACCGCCGCCTCCTTCACGGCTGGGGGGGAGCAGAGCGGGGTCAGGGGGGCTGCGGGCACCCGCCAGCCTGGGGCACCTCTGCCAGTCCTCCCCGTGGGGACAGGGAGTGGGGTCTGGAGCTGGGCAAGGGGGTTCAGCGTCCCACCCACTGCTCAACCTGTGGGAAAGCTGATGCTGGGGCAGCCCCAGCACCCTGAACAGGGTCACCCCTCCTTGTGCAGCCCCCAGCACCCTGAACAGGGTCACCCGCTCCTCACAGAGCCCCCAGTACCCTGCATAGGGTCACCCCCTCCTCACAGAGCCCCCAGCACCCTGCACAGGGTTACCCCTTCCTTGTGCAGCCTCCAGGACCCTGTACAGGGTCACCCCTCCTTGTGCAGCCCCCAGCACCCTGTACAGGGTCACCCCCTCCTCATAGAGCTCCCAGCACCCTTCACCTCCCCTTGTACAGAACCCAGCACCCTGCACGGGGGTCACCCCCTCTTCATCCAACCTCCAGCACCCTGTTTGGGGTCTCTCCCTTCTTGTACAGCACCCTGCAGAGGGGGGTCACCCCCTCCTCACACAGCCCCCAGCACGGGGTCACCCCTCCTCACACAGGTGCCAGGGACCCTACCTTGCATGATGTCCTTCATGACTGACTGCAGCACCACCTCCTCGTAGGTGTTCTCCACCAGGATGAAGCTGGCAAAGTCCTCAAAGATCAGCTCCTGAAACTTGGCCAGTTCCTGCCGGGAGAACGGGCGGCTCAGCCCGGGTGGGAGGGACACTCTAGCCCCTCTGCAGGGAGAGGTGGTCCCTCCCCACCCCCCAGACTTTGCCCTCTTACCCCCTTGCAGGTGGGTGCCAGCTTCTTCAGCAGGAAGGGGATGGTGATCTGCAGCAGGGCCTCCCTGAAGAACTTCTTCCTCACCGTGCTGCTGTCGTAGTCGAATTTCTGCAGGGTGAGTGAGAGGGTGCCCCAGGGCACAGAGGGCTGAGGGCTGGCAGCCCCCTGAGCTCGGGGACAAACCCCCAAGTTTTGCCCCCCCCCCATTTGTAGAGGAGTGAACAGACTCCTCTGCCCTCACATCCCTCTTTCCAGCTGCTTCCCGGGGTGCCTGAGCCTGGGGAGAAGCCAACTCCTCCATGGCTGCCTGAAGGAAGGTTTGGGGGCCAGTCTGAACTCTGGGTGGCTTTTACACTGACAGGGACCTGTCTCCTCCAGGGGATTTCCCCCTCTCCATGAAAACCTCAATATAGAGAAGTATTTCCCTATAAGACTTTCATTGAAGTGGATACCATCACTCCTGGCCTCTTCCCTGGCCCTGGGACAAGGCCACTGCAGGCCACCAAAGGCCTCACCTTGAGCACCCTCTCGAGGATGCGCTGGATGGACTTGCACAGGTCGTCCTTGCCCTGCAGCTTCCCCAGCTCCTGGTGCAGCAGCGTCTCGAAGGTGTGCACGGCATCATCCATTTGCTGGGAGCAGAGGAATGGGGTCAGCGTGGAGGGGGAACCAAAGGGACCAGCCACAGGAGTGGGCAGGGGGCTCTGGGGGCAGTGACACCCCAAAATGAGCCTTATCACAGAATTCCAGACTGGATTGGGTTGGAAGGACCTTAAAGATCATCTTGTACCACCCTCTACTATCCCAGGTTGCTCCAAGCCCTGTCCAACCTGGCCTTGGATGCTTCCAGGGATGGGGCAGCCACAGCTTTTCTGGGCAACCTGTGCCAGGGCCTCCCCCCTCTCACAGGGAACAATTTATTTTTAATATCCAACAGGCAAATATCCTTCACTCTGGGAGGGTCCCTGACAGCCCAGCATGCCATCCACAGCCTCCATCACAAGGACCAAGGGTGCTGGAGGAAGAGGGTGCTCAAAGCTCATCCTCCTACACCCCACTCCAAATTTGGCTGGATCAGATCCCAGAATTGGGCTCCTGGCCTTGTTGGTGCCGGTGGGCTCAGTGGCAGAGGGGCAGCTGTGGTGTGATGCCCAAGCCTGGGAGCTGCCCACCCTCAGGATTGATCCACCCTTAGCTGTGTGCCTGAGACAGGACAGACATCCCAGCCAAACCCTGCCTGGGCTCCCCAGCCCTCTGTGCCCAGCCCAGGGGGGCACAGGAGGAGCCCAGTCCCCATCCCACCTGTCTCATGTGGATCTGGGCCCTCTGCTTGAAGACAGACGTGCTGGAGACATCGAATCGCTGCTGGAGACCCTCCAGCTTCAGCTGGTCCATCTTCTCATAGCATGACTGCATCTTCACGGGGTGGAAGGCCAGGTGGGACAGCTTCTCCATGTACTGGGGACAAAGCCAGGCTCAGCAGGGTGGGACAGCCTCTCCACGTACTCATGGGAAAAAATTCCCCCGTATTTTCCCAGCCTGGGGTCCCCCAGCGCTGCCCACACTGGGGAGGGCAGCAGGAGTGGCCCTGTCACCCCTAAGCCCACTAGCCAGCAAGGAGCACTGCCGGGTCTCACCTCCACCAGCTTCTCCAGGCCACCCTCGTTGACGACGTTCATGTTCATGTCCGTCACCTCCTTGAAGAACACCTCCCTCACCTCGGCAAAGCCCTGGCTCGTGGGGGTCATCAGGGCCTCCAGGATGGAGGAGATGTAGGGCTGGACGTGGTTTCTCACACAGACCTCTGCTTTGGGCAGCACGAAGGCTGGAGGGAGCAGGGAGAAGCATGGTGAGGCTCCTCTCTGCCCTGCCAGTTCCTCACATCAGGTCCTAAACCCACCCCGTGGAGAAGGACCCAGAAGGCTCCCACTTGCAAGACAACCCTTCTTGGAGAGGGCCCCTGGTCTGTACTGAACCCATTCCTACCATGCTTGAAGGGGTGACTTCCCACCTTGTCCCCACCTCCTGGGACAATGCCAATGAAGGGCATGCACCCCAAAACTGCGCCTGGTGGCACCTCCCCAAGGGTTCCAAGAGCTGCACCCGGGAACAGCCACACCCTGGTGGAACGGGGGGAATGCTACCCCAGGAGCTGGCCGTGGACACACCCACACACATCCCTGCGGGGCTGCACCTCGGATCTTGCTGGCCAGGTGCTCCTTGGAGGTGATGATCTGGTCCATGTCGGTGCGGATGGTGCTCTCCAGCCGGGGCCGCTCCTGCTCACAGCGCGCCCTGGCAGCGTCGTACTGGGCCTGGGTCTGCTCATAGACCATCCTGTACACGGCATCTGAGATCTGGGGGGACAGGGACAGCTGGGCTGGTCACCCACCTGCCCCCTCCACCTCCAGCTGCCCCCCCAGCCATCCCCTGCAGGACCAGCCCAGCCTCTCCCCCTGCCCTGGCAGGACCCTGCCTCGCAGCCTGGCAGTAGGTTGCCATGCAGGGACCCCCCCAAGCTGGGTGAGATGAAGCTCCTGCGGTGCAGAAGCTGCTTCAAAGTGGTGCTGGAGGGGTACAGAGTTGAGCCTCGAGCAGAAAACCTGCCCCAGGCGGGTCTGGGGAGGCTGTATGTCCAGGGATGCTGCAGATTTGGGGATGCTGAAGGGCTGGGGGGCTGCAGGGCTGGGGGTGATGGTGGCCCAGGGCTGCTCCATGTCCAGGGGTGCTGCAGATTCGGGGATGCTGAAGGGCTGGGGGGCTGCAGGGGTGGAGATGATGGTGGTCCAGGGGTGCTGCAGGGCTGGAGATGCTGCTGGTCCAGGTATATTGGTGGTCCAGGCAGGAGAGCCCCTGACCCCCTTGGAAAGCTGTGCACTGCCTGCTCATCCTGCCTGGGCTCTCAGGAGCCAACTCCATGTGCAGGATGGAGCCACTCGCTGAAGTCTCACACTGACTTTGCAGCCAAATGCCGGGATTTTGGGGCTGGCAGGAAGCAGAGCCATCCCCCCTTCTCCCTCCCTTGGGCTTCCCAGCTTTGCAGCTAAGACCACAGCTACTGAGAAAGCAGTGTTTATGTGTTTTCAGGCTGCTCCAGTGGCCCATTACCAGCCTGGTGGTAATTATGTGCCGGGTTTTAAGGTTTTACCAGGCAGTTTTGAAGAGCCCTCAGTGTTTCGCAAGGGTCTGGGCTGGATTTAGCCTGCGCTGCTCTATAAATGGCTCACTAAAAATAGCCAGGACAGGCTTTGCTCCGGGGCTGGGCTTCCTCCTGTTTGCTTCCCTGGCCCCGGGGACGAGGCAGAGCAGGCAGGGCTGGGCAGGGCTGGGCAGGGGCACAGCTTTAAAAAGCCACTGTGGAGAAAGGACGGATTCTTTGGAGGGGGCCGGGAGAGGGGGCAGGAAAGCTGGTGGGCAGCAAGCCCGGCAGGGAGGGGAGGAAGGAAGCACTGCAGCCCCCAAAGCTGGGACTGCAGGCAGGGGCAGGGACAGCAACGGTGACACCCTCCCCCAGCAATCCCAGCCCCACACCTGGATCCAGGTCCGCTGGCGCTCCGGAGCCTTCCCCTTCAGCCGGGGGCCGATGGTGCTCCTGAGCTCGGGCAGCAGCTCCTCCATCACCAGGTTGCTCAGGACCTGCAAGGCAGGAGGTTTTGGGGGCCCTGCTCGGCCCCCACATGCCCCCAGAGCCCGGGGTGGGACAGAGGAGCTCACCTGGGTCTCGTTGCCGCACAGCATGTCCCAGGTGCCGAACTGCTCCTTGGCCTGGCGGTACATGCGCACGGCGTCCGTGAAGGCTGGAGCCTCCACCCTGGAGTCCTCTGAGATCCCTGGAGGGGGAGGGGGGGCATGAGTGGGCAGCCTGGCACCGCCAGGGAGTTTGCAGCACCCCAGCCCACCTTGGCAGGGGGTGCCTGCAGTCCCCCACGCCCTCGGAGCTGTGCGAGGAGCTCGGGGATGTCACCAGGACTGGGGGGTCCCAGGACACTGTCTCTGACTGGGTGGGGGGCAGCAGTGGTTGGGGGACTCCTATTCTGTCCAGATTAACCCCTCTCCAGAGCCAGACTGAGGGCAGGGAGGCACCCAGGAGCAGGGGCTTGGCAGGATGGGGAGCTCAGTGACCCCCAATGGTGCACGGGGGCCTTGGGGCACAGGGACCCCCAATGATGTGAGGACCTGAGGGTTTGGTGAGCCCTGAGCAGGAGCAGGGGCTCAGCAGGGTGGGGGGCTCAGTGATCCCTAATGGTACATGAAACCCTGGGGGCTCAGTGAGCTCCAAAGGCACAGCAGGAGCAGGGGCTCAGCAGGATGGGGGGCTGAGTGACCCCTCACACTGCTTGGGGACCAGTGAGACCCCCAGCACCACGGGACAGGGCAGCTGGGGGGGCTGGAGGAAAGGGGGGGCCCTGAAGGGAGCAGAACAGCTCAGGAGGAAGAGGAAAGTGGCCAAGAGTCATCAGGAATGAGTCAGGGCCCCGTCCCCAGGCAGCTGGGCTGACCCTGAGGTGAGTCACTGCAGCACAGCTCACGGGGTCACCAGCACGAGGGGGCTCAGATGTCACCCCCACCCTCCCCCAGCACCCATCGGGAGGAGGGGCAGGGTGCTGGGAGCCCGTGGTCACATCCCATGTGGAGGAGGAGGAGGAGATGGGGACAGTGGGCAGGCAGGACAGCCCAAGAGCTGTCCCACATGTCCCACACACGTCCCTGCCTTGTCCCAGCCTGCCCAGGCTGTGGAGGTGCCTCACAGCCAGAGGAACACCCCTGGGATGAACCCCCAGCACCCAACTGCCCTCCCCATGCCCAGACCCCTGGCAGGAGGGAAGCAGGATGGATGTGAGCCCTGTCAGGGTGATCTGACCCCCAGCAGAGGCTCTGGGAGAGCATCCCTGCAGCGATGACAGCTGAGGGTCACAGCACATCCCTGCACCACCCAGGACACCCAGGGGTGGGCTTTCCCTTCCCAGGGCAGGGAGCGGATCTTTCCCACTGCACACAGACTTTTGTAAGATGATTACAATTAACTCCAAGCCTAAGCAGCTTTTCCTAAGGGGCAGCTTAATATACAGGGGGGAAAAACACTGAGAAAGTCAAATCTGTCCCTTCTCAGGACTCAGGGGGAGCCAGAGCCAGGCTGAGCTCCTCCATCCATGGATCCCAGCAGCTCAGCATCCCCTCCCAGCTGGGACAGCTTGGCACGAGCTTCAGTCCCCAGCCAGAGCTGCTACAGATCATCCTCCAAATCCTGCAGAGAGTGGGGCAGGATTCATCCCTCAAAAAGCCTTCTGGATCTCCCCCCCCAGAGTCACTCACCCCAGGCCAAGCCTGGGGACGTCCTGGAGTCTGTCCCAAGCCCTGTGCCCTGTCCAGGGACAAGCAGGGCTGAGAGAAGCCCCTGTGCCACTTTACGGGGCAAATTTAATGAGTTTGCTTCATTAATATGTGTTTTAGGGCATGGAGTGACAGAACAAGGGGGAATGGCTTCCCACTGCCAGAGGACAGGTTAGGTGGGATATTGGGAGGGAATTCCTCCCTGTGAGGGTGGGGAGGCCCTGGCACAGGTTGCCCAGAGAAGCTGTGGCTGCCCCATCCCTGGGAGTGTCCAAGGCCAGGTTGGAGCAACCTGGGACAGTGGGAGGTGTCCCTGCCCATGGCAGGGGGTGGAAACAAGATGATCTTTAAGGTCCCTTCCCACTCAAACCATCCTTAACAAGGGGCAAGACCCTCAGGGTAGGCACTGCCCCAGCCCCTTGTGACACCAAACAGGGCAAGGGACACTTTTGGAGCAGCCAAGGGCTCCAGGGACACGAGGCTGGGCATTGTGTGTGTGAGGAACAGTGTTGCACATCCCCAGTCCTTCCAGCAGAGCTGGTGTTACAGAAATACAGCCTGAGAAGGGGAGGTGAAAATTCCCACAAGGCTCACAACCAGAGGCAGAAACAGAGCCTCTAATTTAGGGATAAAAAAATGAAAAGTGCTCAACAACAACAACAAAAGAGCTTTCATGGAATATGAAACAGTATCTCAGAGCTCAGGAGCAGTGAGGGGCAGGAAGAACAATCTCACAGAGAAATCTGGGCTGTAGGAATGCAGAAGTTCCCCAGCACTGAGCCCTCCCTTCCCACTGCCCACCCTGGGAAGGCTTTTCCATCACATGCTGAGGAGAAGGAGAGGGAGGAGAGGATTTATTGGCACAGCTCTGGCAAGGAGCAGGGGTGGTGGAGGAGCTCACACCTCCCCTGTCTCTCACAGCAGCACCTGGGGTGCTGGGAGGGAGTTAAAGATCATAAATTGGGGTTTTGTTAGCAGGAGATTAATTCCTCTTTTACCCAGAGCTGGTTTGACTCACAGTTCCCTGGTGTTGTGGGTCCTGGGGTGCTGAGTTGCATCCAGAAATGATGCTCAGGCACAATCCCAAGAGGGATGGAGGGGTCACTGCACCAACCCCCCCCAAAGGAGCCAGGCCCTGGGTGGGCTGAGGGGGCACACTCAGCCCAACGAGACTGGACACCCCCAGCACAAGAAAAAAAAAGCAAAATAGCAGATTTCAGGAGATTTAATCTATCATGGGAGGATGGAAACTCCCACTGAAACCCAGGCACCGGATCCCACCCCTTTACTCTGCTCCCTAAACAGCAGCTCTGGCAAAATCAAGGCAAAATTCAGGCTATACAGAGGACCCAGGACTGCAAGAAGCACTTACAAAATAGGCAGCATTGCTCTTTGCCCACTAAAAGACCCGATTTTGAGCAGGTTTCAGCTCTGGCACCACCCTCCCCAGGAAACTTCTCCCCATCCCAGGCAGGGCCAGGACCTGGGGCTCAGCCCAGGAGCTCCCAGACCACAGCCAAGCAGGAAAATCGTGTTTTCCTGCCAGAGTATTGCTGACGTGGGAGGCAGGTCCTACCTCCTCCCCGGCCACGCAGCCCCCGCCCCTCTGCCCACAGCCCTGGCTGCCCTTGGTGGGGTTTGGGATTTGGGGTTTGATGACTGTCTTACCAAGTATTTTCTACCTCAGGGTGGAAAATAGGCATGAGGGCAGCTCTTGAGTCAGCCTCTGTGCTGGCTCTGCAAATGCTTCCTGCCCTGGGCAGGTATCCCTACGGGCAGGGGGACGGGGCTGGGCACAGGGATGCTCCAGCAGCTGGATGTTCCTGCTCTGCCCACGCTCCAAGGGGCAGATAAAGGGCTCAACCACAGAATCATGGAATGGTTTGGGTTGGAAAGAACATTAAAGATCATCTTGTTCCAACCCCCTGCCATGGGCAGGGACACCTTCCACCAGCCCAGGTTGCTCCAAGCCCCGTCCAACCTGGCCTTGGACACTCCCAGGGATCCAGGGGCAGCCACAGCTTCTCTGGGCAACCTGTGCCAGGGCCTGCCCACCCTCACAGGGAAGAATTCCTTCCCAGTATCCCTTCCAATCCTGCCCTCTGGCAGTGGGAAGCCAATCCCCTTGTCCTTTCCCCCCAGCCCTTTCCATCTCTCCCGGAGCCCCTTCAGTCACTGTGAGATGCTCTAAGACCTCCCCGGAGCATTTCCTTGTCCAGCAGCTCCCACCTGACTCCTCCTCTTGACCTCCAAATCATCATCTTCGGCCCCAAAACCCAACCCCAACCAGGCAACCACCCTCCCCAGAGCAGGGGGACAGTGCTGTCCCCACCCTGTGTCCCCCCCAGCCCCGCTCACCGTTGTTGCAGTGCCGGACGCAGTCCTGGAACACCGCGCGCCACTTGTCCTGCTCCTTGCCCGTCATCACACAGAAATAGTAGTGCCTGGCATAGGGGTGCCAGAGGATGAGGGGGAAATCCGTGGGGCACTTCAGGATGGGGGAGTGCCCTGATTTGGGTGTCACACCTGCAGAGAGGGGAGGAGGCTCTGAGGAGGAGGCAGGGCGGGATGGGGGGGGGGTGTCCATCTCCTTCCCACAGCGTCGTTGCTGGGAGTTGTGACAAAAAGAAAAAAGTGGAAAAAGAGCCTTGCTCTTCCAAAAAGGAAATCAGGAGTGAAAAGTGAGAAATGGAATTAAAAGTAATTAAAATCTCTGTGGTTTTCAAAGAGCCACGGACGTGTTTTCCTTCTTTCCCTGGTGGCTGTGGCCGGAGCTGAGCGGCAGAGTGTTCACATCCCACCGGGGGGAATGGGGCTGTTCTCCTTCCCTGCACCCCCACATCCCAAAATTACTCCTTCCCAAAGGTCCCCAAGGACGCTCCACCCTAAAACCGCCCTTTACAGAAGGTCCTTATGGATGCTACACCCCAAAAACACCTTTTCCAGAAGACCCTCAGGGATTCTACACCCTAAAACAACCCCTTACAGAAGGTCCTCAGGGATGCTACACCCCAAACCCACCCTTTTCTGAAAGTCCTCAAGGATGCTACACCCCAAAACCACCTTTTCCAAAGATCCCCACAGATGCTACACCCTAAAACTACCCTTTCCAAAAAGTCCCCAGGGATGCTACACCCCAAAATCACCCCTTTCTGAAGATCTTCAAGGATGCTACACTCCAAAACTAGACCTTCTGAAGGTCTTCCAGGGATGCTACACCCCAAAACCACTCTTTCCAAAGATCCCCACGGATACTACACCCCAAAACTACCCTTTCCAAAAGGTGCCCAGGGATGCTACACCCCAAAACTACATCTTCCTGAAGGTCTTCCAGGATCCTACACACCAAAACCACCCTTTTCTGAAAGTCCTCAGGGATGCTACACCCCAAAACCACCCCTCCACGAAGGTCTTCAAGGATGCTACGCCCCAAACCCACCTTTCCCAGAAGGTCCTCAGGGACGCCCACACCCCAAAACCACCCTTTCCAGAAGGTTTCCAGGCATCATGCACCCCAACCCCCTCCCTTCCCACAGGTGCCCAGGGGGTGCCCAGCAGTGTCAGGGGGTGCAGGGGGCTCACCAGGCAGGCTGTTGTTCACCAGCTCCAGGTACTGCTCCACGGAGGTGAGCACCTTGTAGCCGGCGCTGTTGACCAGCACACGGGGCGGCAGCTCCCGCTCGTAGGCCTGGGCAGGAGGAGGAGGTGGTCACGGATGAGGGGGAGCATCCATGGCCACCCCACCACGTCTGGGGGTCCCCTTGGGAGCTGTCCCCACCGGAGATGGGCAGAAGGGGGGGTTCTCCTCACCAGTTTGTTCTCGTAGAGGACCAGGCCGTAGTTGTGCGGGACGACGCAGAACCGGTTCCGCCACTTCTTGTTCTCCTCGATGTACTGGAAGATGTTGCCCGAGTAGATGACATGGTCCTCCAACGGGACCTGGGGGAGCAGACAGAGAGGTGGGAGGCACAGGGGGGTCGGTGAGGGGCAGCTCTGGCTCGGGGAGCTCAGTCAGGTCTGTTTGTGGTGGTTGGGTGGGTGTTGCTGCACTAGGGCTGTGCTGAGGGTCTCCAAGTTCACCACTGGATTATGTCCTGCAGCACCGAAAATTTGAGTGCCTGAATAGGTGTGCCTGGGTGACACCTTTGAGTCACCAGAAAACCCCAGAGAGGCTGCTCGTGTCACCGCTGGAGTCACACGTGGTGGTGTTCACCACGCTCTGGTCACAGCCCTGCCCCTCCATCTCCATCCTGGCGGACACACCAAGCTCAGCTGAGCGACCTGAGCTCCCCTGGCTGAGTGGCAGGTTGGAGAAGAGCCCTCCAGCAGCAATTCCCAGCCCCAGCTCCTGCAGTTTCCATGGCCTGGGGCAGTGGGGACCGTCTGTGGCACTGCTGGCAAGCGGGCATCAGCAGGAAGGTCCTGCCAGAGGCACCTGCAGATGGCAGGAACCCAGCCCTGCTCTACTGGGACTCCAGATGGGACAGAAAAGAGGAAAAGCAAGAAGCCACCCCATAGGGCTCAGCATCAGTTGGTGTTTAGATGTTCTGGACTTCATGGAGGACCAGCAACAGCTCTAAATGGGGAGAGATTTAGATGGGATATTGGGAAGGAATTCCTCGCTGGGAGGGTGGGGAGGCCCTGGCACAGGTTGCCCAGAGAAGCTGTGGCTGCCCCTGGATCCCTGGAAGTGTCCAAGGCCAGGCTGGATGGTGGAAAGTCTCGTGGGAGGTGTCCCTGCCCATGTCAGGGGGTGGAACCGGATGAGCTTCGAGGTCCCTTCCAACCCAAACCATTCCATCATTCCACAACACGATTCTATGACAGGAACAGGCCAAGGACATCCCCCCTCCCCTCTCCCCCCCCCAGAGCAGCCCCTCACTGTGTCTCCAGCCCCTCTTGGCCCCCACGCCGCGGCGTTGACACCATCCCAAACACAGCCTGCCTGGGGGAGCCAAGAATCTGTCCCAGGAATTTTTATGATCCCAGGAACATAAGAGCCGAGAGCTCTCGTGAGGGCTCGAGTGTCTGGCGGCCGCCTCTGCTGCCGTGGCCACCCACCACCCACCACGGTGGCCATCAGGAGGGACCATGACACAGAACCTGGACCCTCCTGGAGGAACTTTTCCCACTCTTCTCTCTGCTTCCCATCTCCTGGTTCCCAGGAACCTCACTCACTGCCTTCCCCAAGCCCTGCACTCCCCCCCGACCACACACCCACCTCGGGCTGGGGGAGGTCTGACAGCAGCTTGGCTGACAGCACCTCACTGCTCCTTAGGGCTTGCCAAAGCCCTTGGAAGAGGGAGAAGAAGCCCAGACTAAGCCCTGCAGGGCTGAGGGACTGCAGGAGGCAGGAGAATCTGAGCCCCAAGGCCACCAGCAGGATGGGGACAGAAAGGAGGTGCCAGCTCTGGGAGCCCCCATCAGTGTCTCCCCAGGGTGGCACATCCAAGGAGAATGAGCCCCCCCAAACTGGCTCTGAAACCACTGCCCAGGGCACACTGAGCCAGGCAGAGCAGCTGCTGGTGGACTAAAACCCAGGCTGAGCCCTGCCATGGCTCCAGGGGACCCTCAGCTCAGGGCCAGCAGCACCCTGGGAGCCCCAGCACAGCCACCCCCTCCTGGCACACCCTCCTCGCCCCAGGGAGGCACAGAGGTGGCACCTCCCAACTCCAGCAGGTATTTGGGACAGGCAGGTATGTGCCAAATTGTGGGGATGGGCAAGGAGGGAGCCCCTGGGCTGCCCACATCCCTGTCATGGGGCTGGGGAATGTCAGCTTTGGGGCTGCCATGGGAGCAGAGGGTGTCAGGGATGGTTTTCCAGAGGCTCTGGATGGGGACACATGAGTTGTTGGAGAGATCGAAGGCAGAGATATTTATTCCATATTCTCATTGCTCTTGAGTCTTGCTGATGCTTCAGATGACCACAGCCCTGCTGTCCCCCTCTGCCCAGCAGGGCCATCAGGTCTCACTGCACTGCATCCCCACAGAGACCACGAAAAAAGGCCAGTAAATAACTAACATTTAAAAATCCCAAGTGCCACATCCCAGCTGGGCCTGCCTGAGGACAGGCAGGATGCCACCCTCCATCTCTAGACATCCACAACTTTCTGGGCACGTCTGGGGAGCAGAGGGTCCATCTGGAGGAGATGATCACCCAGCTCCTCGCAGAGCCGCCCCACAGACTGGTCCCTACAGTGTCTGGAGCACTGGGACATCCCAGTGGCACTGCTGGGATCCTGGGAGGGGATGGGCAGCAGGTGGGACATATCCCAGTGGCACTGCTGGGATCCTGGGAGGGGAGGGGCAGCAGACAGGACACTGAGCAAGAGGAATGTCCTATTTATACACGGGTGTTTTCCAAGCCTTGCACGGTGTCCCTGACCTCCCGACCTTGCTGCTGTTGCTCAGACATTCCTGGGCTGCTTGAAGCAACAAACCTGGGGATGGAGGTACCTCCCGGGGAGTAGGAGCTGAAGGCATCTGCTGAATTCCAAGGAAGCCAAGGGACACTGTGCTGAGGACACTGGGTGCCTGGTTCCTCCACGGGAACCTCCCCTCCTTTATTTTTCCTAACAAACCCAGCACCCAGGGCAGCTCCCAGAGGAGGTGGGTCAGGGACACAACTGCTGTGAGCACCCAGGGCTTGAGCGTGATCTCACCGAGGTATTTTCAGGATTTCTAACAAAAGCACCCCTTTTAAGCCCCAGACAAGAGCAGAAGCCTCTCTCCATGTGCAATCACATCTCCTGCTTTCAAGGAGCACCCATGGGACAGTGGTTCCATGGAGGATCCCAAGCCCTGTCTGATGAGCATCCCCTGCCCATTTGCATCTGCCTTTGGAGGTGGGAGGAAAGGGCAGGATCCCCCCCACCCCAGGTGCCAGAGCCACAAACTCCATCTCCAAGGGAGACCTTTAGCCCAGGTAGGAGACACATGGCTGCTGGAGATGAGACTTGGAGCCAGCTCCGCTTCCCCCACAGGGTCAGGGACATCTGCCAGGTGTTTCCTACTCCTACCTGGGAATTTCCCCAGGCTGGAGCATCACTCGCTCTCAGGAGCAGGAGACAAACAGCCTGGCACATCTGCTCAGGGCCTCACTGGGCACCAAGGGGGCCCTGAGCTCCTGCCAGGCACACAGACACCGACGGGGCTGCATCCCAGAGCCAGCCTTGTCCTCGCTTGCTGCCTGTGCTCCTTCCGCGGGGCGGGAAAGGAAACCAACCCACGTGCTGCACAGCTCCCCAGGGATGGGCTGGACCAGTGGCACGGGCTACATTCCACCTGGCAGGGTGGAGCAGGGCCGTGCCTGGGCTTTGGGGGGGACACCAGAGCCCGTCTTACCTTGCGGTGCAGCAGCTGTGCCTGCGGGCCCCCGTTGCCCTCGATCTCATAGCGGACGCTGTTGAACAGAGCTACCCCGTACTGCTCCTTGTAGCACCTGCAGAACTCCCCCAGCACCTTCCCTGTCTTCTCTGCAAAGGGAGAGCAGAGACATGTCAGGCAAAGGGCTGGGTTTGGGGGTCTCCGTGCTGCAAGCCCGCCTGGGTCACCTCAGGTGCCCTCCCCATCCACCTCCCGTGGCCCTCCTGCTGCCAGGGCACACTCTGGTGCAGGCAGCACAGAGGAACCTGCTGCTTTCTGCCCTCCCCATCCAGCCCAGGCACTGATTTGGGGTCAGGACGATCTCTTTTTTTGACCTTTCACATTATTTCATGGATTCCTCTCCCCGGCAGGAAATTCCTGACATTAAGCTGATTCCGGCTTCCTGTGCCTTGTGCAGCTCCCGGCCCTGCTCCCACCAGCTCTGCCTGCTGAGACTGGGGCAACCCTCCATTCCCCATCCCCAAACATCCCTCACACCCCCCCGACCCTGCTGTGCCCCCAGAAGGGCCATCCCAGTCTGGGATCCAGGCCCTGCAGCTGGTGATGCACTGCAAAGACTCAGAGGGGAAAGGACAGCCTGGCACCCCCCACACTCTCCATGGCACCCCCAGGTGAGACAGGCACCCCACCAGGACCCCAAATTTCAGACTGGGATGAGGCCAAGGTGGTGGGAGAGCCTGAGCTGCCAGGTGCTCCCCTGCACCCCACATTGGAGGAGATCCCCTCCATCTCTTCCCCAGCAGCCTCCTACCCCTCAGTGCACAGGGTGGGGGGATGCTGCAAACCCACCCCCCAGCAGTGGGGACAGGGCCTTCCCAGCCCCAGGGGGGCAGTCACAGGAACCCCTTGTTCCTCCTGGGCCATCAGCCACCATGGACGAGTGGGGTTGTCCCCCCAACCTTTACCAGCACCCCTGTCCCACGGGCACCCTGACCCACCCAGCACCCTCCCCACCCCAGCTCCAGACCCCACATGGGGGTCCCACACCAAAATCCTGGAACGAGGCATCGCAGAGCTGTGGGAAAACCTCCCCCAGAGCTGCGGGAAAACCTCCCCCAGAGCCGCCTTTGGCACAGGGCGCCTCGACTTTGAATTTCCCTCTCAACTTTGCCCCAGAGCCTGCGAAAAAGGAAGAATTTGAGTCTCCTCCAAGTATTTCTGACAGCTCAGGCCCTGCCAGAGCACTGGCAACGGGAGGAAGGATGCTGGCTCTGCATCCCAGTGCCGGAGCCAGCACGATGCTGGGGGCATGAACCCAGACAAAACAGCCCCCCGAGCCGGCTCGGCACAGCTTGGCAGCAGCCAAAATCTCCAGCCAGCAGCCGCCCCCGAGCCGTGCTGGCAGCCAAGGCAGCACAAGGAGCAGCTTGCTGCAGGGTGTGCAAATCCCTCTGGGGATGAGCAGCTCCAGAGGAAAACGCTGCCCGAGGACAGCGGCGGGGGGGAGATAAACCCATCCCCGAGGAGACGCCGGCGCTGCCGGCAATGGGAGCAACTGCGGCGCAGCATCGTTGTGCCAGGGCTGAAAATCACTTTAAATCGCTTTCAATTTAACACAGTTCTTCACAGCAAAGGATGAGAGGGTGGCTCATCCCGCCAGAGGAATTCCTCAGCCCGGATTTTTGGCCTTTCCCTCCCCCGGGAAGGCGCAGCCGGGCCGCGCTGGCGTCCCTGCAGCACCTCTGTTGGAATTCCCGGCTCCCGAGCTGTGTGATTTTGGCCGGGGAGCGGGGCAGCCATGCAGGCAAGCTGAGATTGAAAAGGACATTTTGAGGTTTCGTTTCCTTTCAGTTCATGGGAAAAAGCGAGCCCCCGGTCCCCAGGCAGGCGAGACGGGCTTAGTCACTCATTCCTCCCTGATTAACGGCGGGGCCAATTAGGAGGTTTGGAGTCAATGGAAAAGCAAAAGTCAATTATTTGCAGAGGTTGAAACAAGGTTTGCAGTGAAATATTCGAGGTGACTAAACCCCCCCAGGCTCAGCAAACCCCTGCAGGGTGTGGAGAGGGTGATGTGGGCCACTGATGATCTCTGAGCAGTAGCCCTGGTGGCCACCCCAGGGGAAGCAAGAGGGACAGACACCCATGTGACAAGGTGACACCAGATTTGGCAAAGTGTGGCCAGCTAGTGGTGGTACAGCCAGGCTTTGCTTGAGCAGGGGATGGGGAGCCCACACTGATGATGCCAGTGGGCGCCCTGACCCCCAAAATCCATAGCACCCTGTGTGGGGCTGACGTGTTCCATGTGGGAACCAGCTCAGTCACCCACTGGCTCCTTCCTCCCAGCAGTACTGGGATCTCTGGGGAGCATCCTCTGGCCATACAGTAAGCACTGGGGGCTATAATAGAGAGCATTTCCCCCCAGGATCCACAGCCAAAGCCACCCATGAGCGCTGTCCCTTTGCACGTCCCACCAAGAGCTGGAGGGGTCTGGGGACAGGTGACAGTCCAGGGAGCCACGTCCCCTGTCCCCTCACCACCATGGCTATGGAGAGAAGGGGCTTGGCTTGGCTGCCTCCCACCCAGCCACCCCCCATCCTGGGTGCAGGCTCAGACACCCACAGCAAAGCCCTTTGGCAAGTGGGAGCACACACAGGGACCTCCCAGGGATGGGTGTCCCCAGCCACCCACTGCCGGTGCTTTCCCAATCCTGGTGTTTGCCCTGGGACCGCTGTGCTCCACCACACCCCCCCTCCCAGTGCCACCACCCCGTCCCTGTCACACCCAGCCGTGCAGAGGCACCGGTCCCCGAGCAGCCGGGGTGGCTGGGTTGGCACAGGCTGGGCTGGCACAGGCTCCAGCACATCCCTCTGGCTCCTGGCAAAGGCAGGGAGAAAACAGCGGCTTTGTGGGGTGCCAACAGCACTGAGGCCTGGCTCAGCAGGATCCCCTGTGCCAGCACCTCTGGTCACAGAGCTCCTCTGTCCCCAGCCCCTCCTGCCTCCACAGCATCCCCATGACTAAGCTGCACGTGGTGGCTGCAGGCGGAGATAAAGGGGCTCCAGAGCTGGGGAGGGCAGAGAGAGGCAAACCCTGAGCCAGGCTGGGTGCAGGGCTGGGCAGGAGGCTGGCACCAAGGATAGAGTTGAGCCATGCCACACCAGCTCCCTGCCGGATCCCCAAGGACCCCCACACCCTCCTGGCATCACCCAGGGGGCACAGCAGGGCAGGCAGCCCTGTAGGACACCACACACAGGGACAGGGCAGCAGCACAGGTTTGTCCTTGTCCCAGATGAGTCCCTGAGGCTTGTCTGGGTGAAACCAGCCTGGAGAGAAGGCTCTGCTCCTGCCACCCCCCCAACCGGTTGTGCCACCACCACTGTCACCGAGCCCAGGGCAGTGCCATGGCCATGACACAGCCCTGGGGCAGCTGGAAGCCCAAGGGCATGTGCAGCCCTCGGTGCTGAGAGGTCACGGCCTGGCCAGAGCAGCCCCGGCCCAATGCTGGTCCCTCTGAGCCAGGGCAGGAGGTAGATCTCACCCTCAGGATTCCAGAGGCCACGGCAAACTGGTCCAGCAGCCTGGACTGGCTGTGTCCTGCCCTTGGGAGCATCCCCAGCACCATCAGCAGCCCCACACATAGAACCACAGGATGGTTTGGGTTGGAAGGGACCTTAAAGCTCATCTTCTTCCACCTCCCTTCCATGGGCAGGGACACCTCCCACTAGCCCAGGTTGCTCCAAGCCCTGTCCAAGCTGGTCTTGGACACCTCCAGGGACGGGGTAGCCACAGCTTCTCTGGGCAACCTGTGCCAGGGCCTCCCCACCCTCACAGCCAAGAATTTCTTCCGTATATCTAACCTAAATTTTCCCTCTGTCATTTTGAAGCCACTCCCCCCTGTCCTGTCACTCCAGTTCCTGATGAACAGTCCCTCTCTGGCTTCCTTGTAGCCCCTTCAGAGGCTGTGAGGTCTCCACACAACTTCCTCTTCTCCAACATGCCCCCCCCATGAACACATATGAACAAACACACACATCCCCCTGCACACCCACACACGTGTGCTCACACCCAGGGCAGGCTGGAGGCCAGCAGCTGACAAATCCCTGTGGGAACACTCATCCCATCCTCCCTCCAGCCCACATCCCCTTTGGCACCCACAGCCCTCTCGTGGCCACTGCCCTTTACATCTGCCCAGGGGGTGAGGTGCCTTTGGAATCCCAGCCCTCCCCAGAACCCCCTGGGATGATGTGGAATCATAGAATCATGGAATCACAAGATGGTTTGGGTTGGAAGGGAGCTTAAAGCTCATCTCCTTCCACCTCCCTGCCATGGGCAGGGACACCTTCCACCAGCAGAGTGAAGTGGGAGAAGGAGTTGGGAGCAGGAGCTGGGAGCAGGGTGCCCAAGCCCCCGTGGATGCCACAGGGATGCCCCACCCCAGGCAGGGAATTTTCCTTCTGGTCCAGAAAAAAATAAGAAAAACAAAAAGGACAAAACAGCTCATTGAAGCACAACCCCCGGGCTGGGGGGGGGGGTGGCATGGTGGGACATCCCTGTGGCAGGGGACCCGTGGGCAGCATGTGCTGGCCTGGCCAGGCTTGCCAAGGGGAAGGAGTTAATCACTGATTTGGCCAGTAAATGATTAGTGAGCAGGGGTGGGTTACTGAGGGCACTGCAGGCTCCCAGAACCTGGGACACTCACAGGGACAACCACCACGGTGGCATTGAGAGGGACATCCACCATGGGGCTGGCACGGACAGGGACACCCATGGGCTGGCACACAGTGACACTGACAGGGGACAGTGGTGGCCCAGGTGGCTCTGCCATCAAGGCACACCAAGGACAAGGCCACTGCAAGGGAGGCTGATGCCACCAGTTGTCCCAGGTCGTCCCTCTGAGCAGGGCTGCTCCAGCCAGCCCTCCCTGCTGCCTGCTCCAAGCACACTCAGGGGTGTGCCCATCGTCCCTTGGCCACCCTCCTGTGCCCCAAATCCTGGCATTATGCAGACAGTGTGTCTGGGCATTCTCCTGAGGGCACACAGCATGGATGGGGTGCACAGGATGCCATGGATGGGGTGCACAGGATGCCATGGATGGGGTGCACAGGATGCCATGGATGGGGTGCACAGGATGCCATGGATGGGGTGCACA